TATTCTTCCATTTTGGTCCTTTTTCGTTCATTTTCTCATACTTTTCATTCCATCCATCAATGTAATCCTACAAACACAAATTATATCGAATTAAGTCATATTTCAACATATACATCAATAATTTTCCATATTTTGTGACCTAAATAAGTGCGCAAAAATGCACTTATAACTCCAACTACCAAGATTGCCATAACGCGAAAAATGAGAGTTCGTGGCATTGAGCTTAGCATAGAACATGCCATTATGAAGCGATTCAGTAATTAAAGCTTCATGAATCCATATGTTCTTTTATTCCAAAGTAAAGCCTCCTTGAAGTATCAACTATTGTCGCGTAGCTTGGCTGACGAATCTACTAATCTAATCAGGTTCACACTTCCATTTAATCAATGGGAGGTTCACCTAATGAGGAGGCTTGGCCAAGGGATCATATATATACAAAGTCGATGTGAACTATACGTGATAATACCATAAGTTTGAAATTGGATAATCATGTGGATGCGAGCTACATTTGAAGTTTTAGCCCATGTTTGACATCTATTAAAATGAGTTTTGGAATAGTGATTTTTTGGGGAAAAAATGGATTAAAAAGTACGAAAAAATTTTGATTTTATTTGCAAAATATTTTATCGTATAAATATGTGGTTGAAAATAAGTTTTAAAAAAAATCAATTTAATGGATGTCAAACAGGGGCTTAGAAAGAAAAAGTAAAGAAGTACAAGACTAATTTTATCTAGGGGAAATTAGGCCAATTACCATAAAAAGGAAACAAATTAGATTAATACACTTCCAACCAAATTAAAACCTTTCATAACAGTAAATAATACGTCCCCAACCCCAAAATCGCCCAAAAAAACCCAAAAGCCCCAAACCAGATTACAAAGAGAAATCCCCAAATCAATTCAAAACCACAATTTCGTCATTCTTGATAGGTAGGAGAACCAAATCTGGTGCTGGACTGGTGACGCTATAGGTGGTGGTGCTAGCATTGGCACTGGTGGTGCCGTAGGTGGTGGAATTGGTGGGGGTACTGTGGGTGCGGGAGCGGGTGCCTTTATTGTTAGGGCTGGTGTTGGTGGTGGCTGTTGGACAGGTGCAGGAGATGCTTGTGGTGGAGGTATAGTCGGTGGAAGTGCTGGCGGTGAAACCACTAGTGGTGGAGGTTCGATTTACCGAATTATAGTCCACTTTTGACAAAAACGAGCTTGACTTTTCATGGCTCTGAAAGCTCATTCCTGACGCAGCAAGTGTACGTGAGATGAAAAACTGTCACCTTAAAATTGGTGGATTCTGCAAATATTCAAAAGTGCGATGTAAACTATTGACAGGATTTTTCAGAAATCTCATTCAATAATCATAAAAAAATCACGGAGCTACAGCTTGGGTCTCCATTGTTTTTCCTTTTCTCATTTAAAGGGAACATGGTTGGACGGTACAGCCACCATTGGTACTGCCAATAGTTTCCAAATGAGTGCATGTGGGCGCGCCGTAAGAAGTGTTCGATGTTCTCATGCTAGTATATGTGATACTATTTACCTTTTTAATCAATGTTTCTGGGCGTGGTTTCACGGAAGAAGATGACTTTTTTGATTGTTTGTTGCAAAGACTCGGCCACGATGTTCGAGAAGGAACGCCAAGGTTTATGATAAATATTACTTATTTATTTCACTTTTGGAAAATTCACAATGCGAAAAATCTAGTGAGTAGTAAAGAGTGTGGAGAGACTAGCCCTCTCGAATGGTGCTGTATTTTCTTTTCCAATATTGTAATTTTCCTCGATTTCATCAATAAAATACAGCACTTGTTTCCTAGTTCTGATATTGTTCATCAACTGTAGCTGGAACCTTATCACAAACTGAAAGATAAAGCAATCCTAACTTTTGATATTTTTGTGACGAAACCCAAGACGAAATATGATGCACAATGTCACCATAAGAATTGTCACTTTTTTTTTTTTTGAATGTGTGCAACTTTTTTAACGTGCTTTTTAAATTCGTCACTTTTTTAAAATTGATGTCAATTTTTTTTTAGTGTTTGTCACTTTTTTCAGTCGTTTTCTTGAAATTTCAATCACTTTTTTAGTAACAAATATCAATTTTATCATTTTTTTGTGTGTTTATAACTTTTTTGAGCGTTTGTAACTTTTTTTTGCCACTTTTCTGAAT